CCTTGGGGTAGGAATCTGATCCGAGGAGCGGGGCTCCCACCCCCTGCGTGGGCAGATGAAGCCCAAAACGCACCTGCTCCCGCAGGCCACCTCCTCCTGCCCTGGCTGCGGTGCTCTTTGGGAGTCAGGCCTGAAGGACGCGGGGGCACCCGGGCAGCGCCAGCCCACAGTGAGGGTCTGGAGCGAGCCATGCCCCATTCCCATTAGCTTGCTTTAGCCTTGGCCTCCAGAACCTACTCCAGGTCTCTGCGTTCCAGGCTCGGCGTGGCCCCCGTGTCCTCCCTCTTCTCACCATCTTGCGCCTGGAGTCCCCAGGGTGCCACAGGGCCAAGCCCCTCCTGGCTGACCTCTAAGCCCCCAAGGCCGGGTCTGTATGGCACAGAAGGCGGTGACTCTGGTTCAGCTTCCCCTCAACACCCTATGCCCCGCAGACTGCGACCAGAGAGAGAGAGATGGGGCAATGGAATCGACGCAGTTGGAAAGGAAAGGGCTTCAAGTCACAGAGCTCAGTGGGGGTTCTCCTTCCGGATGTAGACAAGGACGGAGCCCTGGAGACGGGCAATGATTTGTCGGCGGTTTCCTGGCCCTTGGGCTTTACAGGTCGGGAAGAATCCAGGTTTCCCATTTCCCAGTGCAGTTTGCTGGGATGATATCCTTGCCGCTTCTTCCGGCTAATATCAGTCAGCTCTGTGCAGACAGGGCCGCTGTCTGTCTCGTTTCTGACTCTCCGGCAGCCGCTTGGGACTGGGCCAAGCGGGAGCTCCACAACTGTTATTTAGACTTGGCTGAACGGATCTCCTTTGTAAAACAAATGAGATGCAGACCTGCTCCTGAAGCCAACACAAAGGTGTAATTTCAGGATTCTACAAACACCTCAACTACCAGAAGGGAGGTGCTGTATCTGCTTATAAACTGGTGCGGAAGTAGAGAAGAATGTGAAATTTCCTTGTCATGTCCCTAGGCCAATTTTTTCCCTGCGTAACTATGATCTCATGTCCATACGGGATCAGCCGCTGTTTATCAGAGACTGTGGCATCCAGGCCCTCCCCCGGGGACCTTGAACACAGGTCTTATTTAGCTTCCCCCTCATCTCTGCCAGGTAGAAATTATTGGGCTAGCGTTCCAAGTGGAAACCGAGGCTCAGGCAGGGCAAGTGGCCTGCCCAAAGCCACACAGCTCACAAGCGCTAGGGCACGGGTTCTAGTTAGGTCTGAGCTGTTTTACCAAAGTCGGGGGGTTCTGACATAAAAGCAATGTTATGCAATGCCGTGTAATGAGAATTCACTCGGGGCCAGGCAAGTGATGGCTGTGAGCCCATCTAACTCTCACAGCAACTCCATGAAGGGTCAGCCCTACCTTACAGAGGAGGAAAACTAGGCCCAGAGATGCCAAGTCCCTTTGCCAGGGGATCCCAGCCAGTCTGGGACCCAGCAAAGAGCGAGAGGCAGGGAGAGCTCAGAATAAGAGGCGGGGGTACAGGGTGACCCCTGGGGCTGGGCTGGACTTGCTAGCCGTGTGAGTTTTGGGTAAACTACTTCACACAACTTGTAAAACATTTTCATTAAGTACGCATAACATAAACGTGACCACGTTAACCGTTTTTAAGGGTACAGTTCAGTGCTCTTAAGTACATTCACATTGTTGTGCAACTGCCACCATCCGCGTCCAGAACCTTTCCACGTTCCTGGATGGAAACTCCGTGTCTGTTAGACATGAACTCCCCATTCCCCGCCTCCCCAGCCCCGGCAGCCACCCTCCTACTTCCCGTCTCTGTGAATCTGACCACTCTAGGAGCCTCATGGAAGTGGGACCATACAGTATCTGTCCTTTGGTGTCCGGCTTATTGCATAGTGTCCTCAAAGTTCAGCCACACTGTAGCAGGTGTCAGACTGTCCTTCCTTTTAAAGGCTGAATAATATTCCATTGTGTGCAGATACATCTTGTCCGTTCTTCTGTCCCTGCCTGGTCATTGGGCTGCTGCCACCTGTTGGCTGTTGTGAGCAGTGCAGGTACAAACGTGGGTGTGCTTGGACAAAACACTCAAGCTCATCAATTTCTCACCCCAAAACTGAGCCCCCAGCTTTGTCCCCCGACTCAGAGAAGATATTTAATGCTCACACAGTGTCTGGGTCAGGAGCCAGAGACCCAGTTGACAAGTAGCCTCTGTCACCTCGGTCGCTCCACTTCTCTCCATTTCTGCTGCTGCTCCCCAGAATCGAGGCTGCCATCACCTGTCATTTCAATGGTGGGTCCTCTGAATTTCAACAGCCTCATCACGAGTCTACTTGCTTCCAACTTCCCCTTTCAACACACCTTCTATGTCACAGTCAACCGGCAGGTCTGCCCATGTCACCCCGTGGCCCTGAACCCGTCCCTGGCTCTCCCCCTCACCTCCTTCTAGTGCTTGTGGAAATGTCCCCTTCTCTGACAGGGCTTCCCTGGCCACCCTGCTTACAGCTGTGGCGCCCACTCCCCTCCGGCCTCTGAGTGCCTGCCCTGCTCCATTCTTCGCCGCAGCCCTGCCCCCCTCTCTCCAAGCATAGGTTTTACTCATTTATGTCACTGATGACCCCCTCTCCTGTCCTCTCACCCCACCCCCACCCCTTCACAAAGGCAGACATTTGTGATAGTTTTGTTCACCACTGGCTCCTCAGTCCCAGCACACAGTAGGCCCTCACTGAATATTGGCCAAGTGCATGAACCCACAAATGACTGACTCCCCTCTGCCTGCAGGGTTACTGGCCCGGTCAAGTCCTTTCACGTGCTGGCTCTGTCCCCTTCCACATCCCCACGTAAACTCCAGCCAGGCCACAGAGCTTGTCAGGTCCTTCCGCTGTATACTAGCCCTGGGGCCTTCGCACGTGCTGTGGCCTCTGCCTGGAATGTCATTGCCCCCACCTCGCCCCACCCTTCTGTGGGTGTGGGTGACCCCTTCGCTTTGCTTCACAATACTACTTTACCCCCCTTTTTGGAAGACTTTTCCACACTGTACTATGGCTGCCCATATGCTTGTCTCTAGATGTTTCTAAACTGCCGGTTCCATGAGGGCAGGATCATTTGTTTGCTCTCAGATTCTTGGGGCCATGTGCTGAGCATGCTATTGAGACTCAGAAAGTGTCAAGGGAAGAACGGGAGCCAAGCTCTTGAGTCTCAGCTGGCTCTCCTGTGGAGCCATGGCAAGGCTGCTCCCGCAGGGTGCCGAGGAGGGGACACGGCGCGGCCTGTGCAACACCTGCCACCGTGCCTGGCACCGGGCAGGCATTTCACACCCAACACCGATTCAACGGAGGGCTCGCACGCGCGGGTGGAGGACCTGCTGCTTCCACTGTTCCAGAAGCCACCAGCTGATGTCCTGCCATCGTTTATCACCTCTAGGGCCACACTGAGTAAGTGTCCGCCCCAGAGAGAATTCCTGTCCTTCCCTGTCTCAGCCGTTCCATTTTGGCAGCTTGCCCGCTGAGCAGAGAAAACCTCCAAGTCCACTTTCTTCCCAGAACCAACTGTGTTTATTACCAGCATGTCACGGAATTGAGAATGTCCAGGGATTTCAGGGACCAGCGGTGCTGATCCCTCATTTTCCACCGAGGACACAGGTTTAGAGAGGTCGGCTGGCTTGCTCACGGCTATGCAGCTAGTTCAGGACCTCGCTTTCTCTTTCCTTTTGGCAGACGAAACTGGGGGGACCCTAAGGAATTTGGTAGGTTAGTCTAAAACTCTCACTTGGGCTGGCCCCTGACCAGTATTGTCACCATGCCTTGAGTGAAGAGAGGGGACAGTGTACCTTCTGTGACCTGCCAACAAGTAGCATCGAGTTTTAGGCGCTGGGAACCTCTTCTCCCAGGGACCTTGTCTGCTCTCCAAACAGAAGAACTAGAAGGGACTATTGACCCTCTTGCTCTATCCCCCTAGATAGCTGGCCTGCCACCACTGGAGGGATGGCGTTGTCCCGCCCTGACTGCTGCCACTGTCCTTGGACAAGCCCCACCATGGAGAGCACCTCTGCCTGCCTGGAGTGTGCTTCCCTTTGTCAGGGGCATAGGAGCTCTGCTCAGACTGATTTTGGGCCGGGGGAGGGGGGGCGGGGGGTGCAGCGGGAGCCCTCGGAGTGGGGGGTCTGGCACTCAGGCATTGGCAGAAGGACCAGGGAGGCGAGGGAGGGGTGGCCCGGTTGGACGTGAACCCAGAACTCCCTCTCACTGCGAGGGAGTCACCAGCTGCCACCAACAGACTAATTCACAACCTCTGGTCCCAGAGGAAATCATTATGCCTAATTATTATTATTAGGCATAATGACTAATTAGTAAAAATAGCTACCATTTACCGAGTGCCAACTTATGCCTGGTACTTAATACATATTATTTCTCTTTTCCTATTTTACACTTCTTTATTTTCTATTTTCCTAATTATGAAGTCAATATAGGTTCGTGGAAAAAATGTTTAAAGATACCACAAAAGACAGAAAGAGGGGGTAAAATTCACCCTTTGTTTCACCATCCACCTTCAGCCACTGCTACCGTACTGGAGTTTTCTTTCCAGGATTTCGTCTGTCTTTTCGTTTCGCTATCTTTTCTGTTGTGTGCATGCACGCAGTATGTGAGATTGACCACAGCTGTGATCACATTTTCCCCCAAATCACTTCTAACTCCCACAGTGATCCTATGAATTGGGTAACCATTATCTCCATTTCACAGAGCAGGAAGCTGAGGCTCAGAGAAGGCAAGTAATTTGTCCAAAGTCACACAGCAGACAAAGCGCTGGACAGGAATTCCTATCAAGTCTTTCTGTTGCCGAAACCTGTCTTGTCCCCCCCACCCCACCCATGCACTCTGCCGTGCTGCTTCCCACGCATTAAGGGAGAATTGGGGGCAGTTTTAAGTACATCTCTGCTTCTGCGACCCCATTCCTCTGCCCGCGCCCGCCGCCCACCTCTACCAAGAGGCGAAGCTCCAGGTGTAGGAGACATAGATTATTTCAGCTATGTTGACTCAACTGGCCAGTACCTGACTACGGGAAGCTCTGATGAAGGCATTCTGTCAGAAACTGGAGGGAATCTCTGTTTTCTGTCCATATAGATATCTGGAAAGCTGAAATCAGAAACGATAATGAACTACTGTTTGCAAGCTGGTGGGCACGAGGCAAACACAAGTAACCTACAGAGCAGCTGGGACGCTTAGGACGCCCCCACACCAGGGCCTGCAAAGGGCCTGGACACCACAGCCACCCCGGAGGGGAGGGGGCAGTAAGAATCCGGGCTCTGCATTTCCTCAAATGGTTTCAACAAAGCCGGAGGGAAGAGGCGGCTCTGCGTTGGCCCCGAGCATGATCAGCAGGCAAGATAAACGGGTGGTACTTCCTTTGTGCCAAGTCCTGGGCAGAGGGGATGTGCGACGAGTAAGGCAGCGCCCCTGCCTGCACGGGGTGACATGGGTTCCGTTACGATGCTCTAGGTGCCCATGCGCAGCTATGGAAACCCTTTCTGTTCAAAATCCCGCCAGGAGGCAGGGCCATGATGAGAAGGCCCGCTGTGGGACCACGGGTGGGGACAGATTGACTAAAGCTCGTTCCCAAAATCCTGCGTTCAGACCGACATACGACAATAAAGGCAGAGGACGAGAGAATATATCCTATCTTTATCTTCTCTCTCTCAAATTTAGGAACAATAAGGTGCCACACTTGGCTCCCATGATATTTTTCAGGCTCTTCCTCCCTTGCAGTGTGAACAAGATGTCTAGAATATGTTTTGCTTTGCTGCAGACAACATTCACCTTGAGCCTTATTTCTGGATGCATGGGCGCATGTGCATGTGCGCACGCGTGTGTGTGCGTGTGTGTGTGTGCGTGTGCGTGTGTGTGCTCCACCATCTGAAGGTTCACTCATCTCTAACCTAACAACCAGGAGTTGTTGAATCTACCTTCTGGATCCTGCCAGAGCCACAGGACGCTGTGACTGTGAACGGCCTGGAATGTTCCCACCTTCAGTTAGGGCCTCAGATACAGAGGTCTTTCCTAACGTCCATCCCTTGCTCTTACGCGCTGGGGCCCCGGCCCTGCTTCCTGATTCGTGGAGGAGGAGCCACCCCGATGGCCCACCTCACCCTGGGACCCGCTCTCCTCCTGACAAATGGGCGAGGTCGGTTCTGAAGCCCCAGGCGCTGCCCCCTCAGTTCCCTAGCTCACTCAGCCTCCTCTGTTCTGCCTCCCCTTCTCCCCCTTCCTTGTTCTCTGCCCAGACCCTCTTTTTCTGATTATTCCCGACAGGAGTGACTCACACTTCTCAGATGTAGGAATAGAAATGCTGTGGCTGCACTGAGAAGTATGCAGAAGGAAATCGGCAGGTGCCTGAACTCCAGCCAGGGGGCCTGGAGGACGAGCAAGGATGACCACCCGGAGCCCCATGCTGCAGGGGTGGGGAGCCCCTCCTCTGCCCTTCTGGAAGGGTTTGAGGCATCCTTCTTGGGTTCAAATCCCATCTCTGCCTCCTGGATGCTGTGTGACTTTGGGCAAGTCACTTAGCTCGTCTGATCCTTTCTCATCCTTTAAACGGGGATAATTCCTCCCTTGCAAGTTGTTGTAAAGATTGTGATATTTTATATAAATATAAGTAGATATATATATACTATGAGATTATATATACTTATTTTTTATAAGTTGTTTCAAAACATTTACTTTACACACACACACACACACACACACACACACGTATGCACACGCACACACACATACCCGGGGTATAAACAGTGGCGGGCACAGGGAGTCACAAACCTGTCTGGGCTGTCCATGTCTACACTTCATAAATCTGTCACAAAGAACAAATGCACTGGTGTAATAGAGAGTATTAGATAAATGTAAAGTATTTAAAGAAAATACTGAGGTGTGGTTTTTCTTCTGTGCTTTGAACGGAGCAATATTTATCCTGTCATTTTGCAGCTAGGGGCTTGCTGCTTTCCCCAGCACAGCTCAGGGACACCAAATATAACGTGGGTTAAATATACAAGCCGACTTGGCTTCACACACCGCGTATGAAAATGAAACATAAACGGCTCGGATTCCCACATTCCTGACAGAGCCATCTTTCGAAACAGTATTTTCTCTTTGAAGAAAGTACTAGCCACTAAAAATGTTTCCATGTTTAATAATGATCGTCAAAGGGACATGTACAACTGCTTGTCTTTTAGACATTATCACGCATTTAGTATACAGCTCATCTGGAGGGACATCTCCCGGCCCCTCACAGCTGGAGACCCACAGAGTCCTGACCCTCCACCAGCCAGCTCAGCACCATCCACGCCTGGAGCCAGTCCCGGCCCAGCAGGTGGAAACTCAATGGTCTTCACCCGGCACCGTTCTTTCTTCTAGAAGCCTGGAATCCTCACACCTAAGATGAAACTCAGACTCTAGCAGCTACCAAGCCCCTTCTTACAGAGATGGCCAATTCCAGCCAACGGGGCTCCTGCCACAGTGCCCGTTTGGTGTTCTAGGAGTTTCCCGTGAGGATGACACCTTGACCTTACCCCTGCCCGTCTGACTGAACCCCTTGTGAAGCTCTTCCTCTGGGGCAGCAGGTGCCATTTTTTTCAACTACTTTGTGCTGTCTGAGACCAGCTGGGAATGACCTGAGCTCACGAAACCATGAGGCCACCAGTGACTAGTTGACGTGTTGACGGGCACCTGGCCTCCCACCCTCCGCCGGCCACCATGGCCCCACAGCTACAGACCCAGGCAAGTCCAGGCTGTGGCTGCTCATGCTCTTTCACTTCGAAGAGCTCTGCGACTGCTCTGGGCCATGTTGCCCAGGTCCTCAGACTCAGAATGTGCTGGCCCGTGTGGCCATTCCCACCCGGCCGTCCAAGCTGTGGGCGTGCTAGCATTGCCGGCTTTAATGTTGTAACATCATATTTCCTTCTAGAAGACACACAAAAGTATAAACATATATAGGTGAGACCACGCAATCGTCAAACATCATCTCACTATCAGAAATGATCGCTTTTCCTATTTCAGTAAATTCCTTTCTACTCCCATTCCATGCACATAATTTTGTCACATAGTTGAAATCATACTATACACAACATTTTGTGGCCTACTTTTTATTTGATGTTGTGTTATAAGCATTTTGTCATATCACCAAAATTATTTATAGAAATCTTTTATTTTTTATTTTTTAATGTTTTTTCTTGAGAGAGAGAGACACATCATGAGCAGGGAACAGGCAGAGAGAGAGAGGGAGACACAGAATCCGAAGCAGGCTCCAGGCACCGAGCTGTCAGCACAGAACCTGACACAGGGCTCAAACTCATGCACCGCGAGATCATGACCTGAGCCAAAGTTGGATGCTCAACCAACTGAGCCACGTAGGCGCCCCTCCCTTATAGAAATCTTTAATGACTAAGTGACTTCCCTCAAGCTAATGGCTATTTCAATTGTCTCTGATTTTTCACTGCTTGGATATACATATTTAGACAATACATCCTTCACAATTTTGATTATATCTTTGGCATAAATTCCCAGAAGTGAAATTTCTGAGTCAACAGGTATGAACATTTTTAAGGCTCTTGTTCCATAACCTGCTTTAGGCCATAACCTTTTAAATTGCTACAGAATGAAATCATAGTCACCAGGTCAAAGCTTTCCTATCTATAATCTCTTGGTTGCCATGAACTTAATTACCGAGATCACAATAAAATAGGGTGACATATTTTTGTATTAATTTCAACACAAATATGGGTTTAAAAATATTTCACATAGGACTGTGTGGAACTAGAAGTAATGAGATTAAGCAATATTTTCAAGTGACCCACAGTTTCTTTCCTATGAATAAGAAATAGTCATTGAGATTTGTATCTCTAATTATTTTTTAGACTCTTCTTTTCACAGCTATGAATCTGAATCTGAGTCAGCACCCTAAACAGCCAGAATTCGAAACAGTGAACTCTATTTTTGAGTTTCTTATGTAGAATGTGACTGAGATGAGCTGCTCAGAATTCATTTATGTAATAATTTTTTTTGAAATATCTGTCTTCTCTGTGAACCCTCCCCTGATTTCCCCAGGAAAAAAGAACTACCCTTCCTCCCATAGCTCGTCACAAGTGCCTCATTTAACACTTGCTATGGTCTTCATCATATTTGAGTTATTTGCTCAAGTTGCCCACCGGCTGGGAGCTCCTAGACGGAACAATCTCGTGTGAGTCCCAAGACCTAGCAGAAAGACCAACAGACACTAGGCATGCATACACAGAATGAGGATTCAGGTTCCATTTGCCAGGAAGCATGTGCATTGCGCCTGGCTCAGTATCCGGTGCCTTGGATGGATCCGAAGGTAGAAACGGAAGGAGACCCACTGTCAGCGCGGAGGCTGTCTACAGAGCAATAGTCAGCCAACGAGGAAAAATATCAGAAAAAAAATGTCCGTGGTTCCAAAATGAAGGAAAACCCCGTTCACTATTTCACAGATATTTATGGATTACCTTCCAGGTAGTAGGACTGTGTTAGATGATGGAATCCAGAGGGGAATAAGCAGCTCTCTCTGCCTCCCCAGAGCTCGTGGAGAAATAACAACGGAGGCTAGTTTCAGTGATCCTACTAGAAGATTATCCAGGGGTGAGGAAAAGGACATGTGCAAAACCAGGATGGGCTAAGAGATAGTCTGGTCTTTCGTTAATCAAAGACCACCACCTTCAGTCAGTTATCTGCAGATCATTCAAGATTCTTCCAAGCAATCACCATGAGTTACCCCCTGCCGAGTCTAGGTCATCTGTTTACCATTTCCACGTGGTAGCAAACTTTAAGGATAAGTAAGCCCTTTGAAATCTGCTAAATCTTCCTACAAATTTCTCTGGGGAGTCTTACATAGAAGCTGGTTTGCCATGAAAAGTCTATTACTTCTAACCAAATGGATATTTTAAAATATGTTATATATAATTGGGAGAAACAATGTCTACGGCCTAAGGGTAAAGATTCATTAAGAAAAGGCACAGAGGGGTGGGGAGTGAGGGAGTAAGCGAGCCAGGGATAAAATTCCTGGGCTGCTGGTTATTGGTGCTATGACCCTGACAAATGCTTAACCTTTCTGGGGATCAGTATTCTCATCT